GTTGTATTGAATGAAGGGAAAAATGCACGTTCCAGTGTCCCCTATGTACATACGTTCATGCATCATAATCATGTGTTGGCTATATGGGTTGTTTTAAATGACATCTTGATACCAATGTTAAGTGCATACAAACAATTGTTATAGTTTGTAACATAGTAATACAAGAAACGTTATTCCGCTTTATCTTGATCTGTAATGCCAGAATGGAATGTGGTGAGAAAAAAACTTCAGTGTCATACTTGTTTTGTCGAACTTGTTTATTGATTAGAACTATTTTAGGAATATTTCTTCATATGGTTTACTTTATCTTTTTTTCTTTCTATTATTTTAAAAGAATAGCAAATCTTTACACTGCGTCATAAGATTCACATGCCACGTTATGACCGGTTCATTTCCTCAAACGGACATTAAAAATTGACCCATCGACCCTAAAGCCTCACACCTGGAACTGAATTCTTTCATATTGTACTCGATCTCATGGAATTGATGTTAATCATTACTCAGATTGCAATAGGAACTAAGAGTTTGTTTTTTTTTTAAAAAAAAATTTCGATCCATATTATGCAGATTTGATATTTTTTCGTCTATAATTGATAATGATCAGTGCGATAATGTATTTTTTTTTTCTTAAACACCCACGTCCCATAACATGCTCGTAATGGAGAACTGAGTGTTTAGTGTAGCTAAAGATACAAAGGTAATTACATTAAAAACTAACGTATCTTATCTACGATAACGCTGTAATCAGCTGATCTCTTAGTCAGGTAGATAATTTTGTCTTGTACCTACAATTTTGCACAACATTTTGAAAGATAATTCTTGCTGAAACCTTATGCTATACAAATAAATCTGAAATGCATTCCTTACAGTAATTCATATCGCACCATCTTATTTTAAATAAAAAATCTAGTCTATTGATTTAGATGCAACACTTTTTTTGCTTAAAGTTTTAGTTAATTAACGTAGCAGTGTGGGTATCTTTTGTTTATGTAATTTGAACTACAGAATGCAACAGCCTTCAATATCTCGGTTTTGTAATTGAAGAAATCTGCACCCACTCATTATTCAAGAAATATGTCTAAACGTAGATTAAGATTGAAATCATTCTACCTTAGCTCGGCTTTTGAAAAATTAAAAGAAAAATCGATTCCATTAATCTTCTATGAACATGGGATAAATGGTTTGCTTTTGCATGGGTTGTGCTATTTATATGATTTCGTTTTTGTAGAGGCTTGGACCACACAACTCCAGTGCGGACCTTGAAGTCGAGGGCAATAATACACATGAATATTACAAAATATCTGTGTAATTTGGTGACAGAACACGCATCATGAACTTGATAATTGTCATTTCTGTTTGAATGGTTTACATAAAGAAAATTATACGTTTGAAATAAAACTCCAGCAGAGCGGTTGGACAAACATCGTAAAGCACCTGAAGTTGTTCAGATTAAGTTTTATCCATATATATGCAAACTCTTGTCTGATTGGTTGTGAGATTTAGATAGATAGAATGTTGCAATAAAGACATTATTGCTTGAAAATCTCCTTGCTAGAAAGGATAAACTGTTATTGTGCACCAAGGAATAACTTCCACCATGCAATACCTGTAACTCAGATATCTTCATTCTTAAATGAAACCTGAATTGAAGTTTTGAAGCCATAATTCGAATAATATGTGCTACTTTAAGTACGGACTTTATATGATTGCTTATACTTAAACACGTCCTAAACTGTTTCATGTACAATATTAGATATTACTAGAAGGTCAAACGTTGGAGAACATGAAAGGAATAAACACTTTTATGCAAATAAATAATTAAGAAAATAGTTTGAATAATAAATTTCTCAATATGCACTTCATTAAGCTGGAAAATGCTATAAGTTAGGGAAAAAAAAGTACGTTCTGTTGACTTCTGTTGAATTTGCAACATTTAACGGGAATTATACCTTGTGAATAAATTTTAAAAAAAACAAACAAAACAAACTCGTGGTAACTAGATAACTTCTATGATGTTTAAACATTCAAAATATCAAACTATGGATGTTCTATATTTGTTTATATAGATATTATCTGAGATTTGATTGAAGTTTCTATGAAATGTGATCTGGTCTCCATTTATATAACTTCTAGGTTTTCCCGTGTGTGCTTAATTAAAAACTCTTTCTGCACCGAGAGAATTCAACTCTGAATATCAATGCATTGTGGGTAAAAAAAAAAAATAAAACAGGCATATATTTATGAAAGACTTCGTTCCACATTTTTCTTTATTTCCGACTACCACATGACTCAAAATGTGATAAAATGAATTACAAATGTAACAAATTACACAGTTTATGGAACAGCTAACTTATCAACGTTTTGTCACAATAGAGGTTGACCACTTTAACTAACGCAGATATGATGGTCAATTTAGATTGTCTCAAAAGGCAGACGGTAAATACCCCCCCCACCTCAAGCAACATAATATAAATTATAAAGGGTATTACAAAAATAAGTTTACTGATATGGCAGTATGGTACTGTCTTCTCATTATGCATCACATTGAAATTAAATTACGAGGTGTAAAACTGTAAATAATTAAGAGACGTTCGCAAAAAATAAAATAAAACAAAACAAGGCAAAGGAGGTGAAGTTGGTAATTGTCTCGTTCACCTGTTGTCTATTTATTTGCTTCTTAATGTACGTATAATGAATGACTAATAACACCATTACCAAGCCCGCGATTTTTTTTTACTTTATAGGAAAGAGTTATGAAGAAGTTTTAGACTGATACAAATTTTGCGAGAACACGAAATTAAATTGATGTTAAAACCAGTGATAGAAGGATATCAATATAAGCAATCATCATCACTATGTCGCACCAAACACACACAACACTGAGAGGTCATGTTAAGGAGACGAAGATACTTATGGTTAATCACGTTATCTGCAAATGAGTAACTCTTGAGGGCAAACCTACGGATCATAATACCTCGAATGTAACCCGATAGCAGCATTTGGACCACCTTGGCTATGCACAAAACAAGGATTAATGGAGCCCTTTTGAATGTATTGATATATTTTGTCATTTTTTCTATTTTCGTTGAATCAATCTCATCGCAGAAATAGCCAAGGTAGTATGAATAAATTGCGGATTCTTTCATGGCAGATAATTTTCAATCGACAAAATGTGTCAGTAAATCACTGCACTAACGTAAGGCATAACCGAGAATGTTCTACTTTGCTATATGGAAGAATAAACGTATTGTACACAATTTTGTTTGTTAATGTAATATTCACCTCGTAACAATTGGCTTTATTGGCCAGATTGATTGAAACAAGAAGTCAGTTAAAGTTCTTTAGATTTTATGTTTATCATGTAATGTCGTCGTTAATGCAAGGTAGAGTCATATTAAGGTAACTTTTGCTGTCGAATTCGTTTACAATGTTTAAATAAGGGTTTTAAGCAATTTTCTTCGAAAGGTGGTTTCTCTATTTGAATAACAATAACTTTATCCGACTGAGTTTGGATAACACTTATTCAGATGTGTCAAGTATTTATATATAATTCTTCGCACACAATATGTCGAACCGGTGCGTCGATTTTTAAGAGAAGATCGTTTAAATATTTCTATTTTTTGTAAAATAATTGTTACCATATTTTGCACAGATTATCATGATAATCGAATTAACAGTCATTATATCAAATTGGTTTGAAGAATTTTTTAAAAGCGAATCATGACGGTCTACTCACGAGGGAAAAAGAAGCACACATCATGAGTTGAGGATAACTGATAGCATTACCATTATATAAGGATGATTTCAGGTTGCTAATGTTTTTCAACGATTCGGCTTTTGCAGCGTTTTCCTTGCAGAGGAAGACGCTTATTAAATGTGTACATTTTATACAAATGAAGAAACAGCAAATAGATACATTATTTTTAATGCAAATACGTTCATAAACTCATATCATTGTTGACAGATGAGAAAAGAAACTGCTGGATTTGTTACCCGTATGCATGCGGAAAATGTCATTTGTCTGGCATGATAAATTATATTTTATTGAAAAAGCAAGCAGAGAAAACTGCTGCGAACTTGCTTTAAGCATTCGTGACGCGTTAACAACATTTATAATTGTATTGTTTTACATAATATCTTCCATACACGAAAGTTCCTCACGTTTACTTTAGCCCGAATATGAATTTTATGTCCCAGAATAAAATGTAATGTACAGTACAAAAGTCTTTTTCACTGTGGAAGTCATCAGTAAGATAGATATGTATGGTACAGGTGAAATACCCGTTTGCTTTACATCATAAAGAAACCAAGCATACCGGTACCTACCTCATCGTCAAAGTGAAATGTGAGCATCTTGTGAACTCAAAACAAAGGAGCAAAACAATTGTCAGCAGGAATGATAGATATTCGAAGATAAAGAGACCCACACTTTTGCATTCATTGAAACAATAGTGTTACTGTAGCTTATATAGGCAAATGGACACAAGAAAAGGCCGTTGGACACCATAAGGTATCTATATGCAACATTCGTCCAAAGTCCTTAATAGCTAAAAACCCTCTATGTCTCTAATATACCAGACAATGAGATGAAAGAATGTGTGATGGGAAGTCAGATTGTCAGTATAATAAGGTACGTGTAAGCATTTATTATTTGTTAACTGAGAGCCACTTTACACGCTCTAGGCAACAAAAAAGTGATTAAATCTTTTCTTCAAGAAAGGAAACAGACCACACTGATTCTCTATCATCGTTTTCTGGTTAAGTCAGTAATTTGGGAGGTCACTCTAGCAGCCATCACGATTCTTTATTTCTCTTGCTTTTTTAACATTTTATTTTTACTTTTGTTTATTTATTTTTATAAAGCACATATCTTAAGCCATAGGAAGTTCAAGCACAACTTTACATGTGGGTTATTTAGGACTTGTACTACAAAAAATTACAGAACAGTTTGCTTCACATCTCAGAGGCATTTTAAACTTATTTTCCAAAAAGATAGGACAGCTCAGGTGGCCTATTGGTTAGGGTGTCTGCCTCGGATGCAGAAGGTCGTGGGATGAAACCTCGGCCGACCAAGTCACACCAAAGACTTATAAATATGGTACTAACAGCTGCCTCATTAGGCGCTCAGACATCATTATAAGTTGTCACACTGCAGACAGCGTAGCGATATGACTGAAACAATGTTAAAGCTCAGTTAAAAATCCGAATCACACACTCCAAATAAAGGCTGATTCTATGATGAACAGGCAGATTGTGAGATGCAAGGGTAGATAATATTATGCATGACATTTTATGAGATATCCTTAATGAATCGTTAGGAATGCATCTCTCAAATTACTAGAAACTTCATGTTGTAATCTCGTCGTTATTAATTTTGTTACATAAAAAGAATAAAATTACGAGAAAATTAATTTTGGTTCTGATTCAAATTAAAGTGAAGTACAATTCTCCAAAATAAATGTAAATTTTATCTCTGATGATGACACAAAAGGACGTATGGTTTTGAGAAAAAGAACGTGTCACTCTCCATTGAGGAGTCCTTGTTATGTATGTATGTATGTATGTATGTATGTATGTATGTATGTATGTATGTATGTATGTATGTATGTATGTATGTATGTATGTATGTATGTATGTATGTATGTATGTATGTATGTATGTATGTATGTATGTATGTATGTATGTATGTATGCATGCATGTGTGTTTGTGTTTGTGTGTGCGTGCGTGGCGTGCGTGCGTGCGTATGTATGTATGTATGTATGTATGTATGTATGTATGTATGTATGTATGTATGTATGTATGTATGTATGTATGTATGTATGTATGTATGTATGTATGTATGCATGCATGTGTGTTTGTGTTTGTGTGTGCGTGCGTGGCGTGCGTGCGTGCGTGCGTATGTATGTATGTATGTATGTATGTATGTATGTATGTATGTATGTATGTATGTATGTATGTATGTATGTATGTATGTATGTATGTATGTATGTATGTATGTATGCATGCATGCATGTGTGTTTGTGTGTGCGTGCGTGGCGTGCGCGCGTGCGTATGTATGTATGTATGTATGTATGTATGTATGTATGTATGTATGTATGTATGTATGTATGTATGTATGTATGTATGTATGTATGTATGTATGTATGTATGTATGTATGTATGTCAGAAGGAAGTATCTTGCTTAGAATAAATACGTCAGGAAATAGTATTGAGAATCCATGTAATTGTTCATTTAAATAGTGATTGAAATTTTATGTTCTCTCTTTGATCAAAAACCAAAATTTCGCCCCGCTCTGGAGAAGGTTTTGGATCGTTAAACACGTCAATACTCTCAATATTGAGAAATTTCTGGTCTGTTGTTTATAGACTGTACTTGATGTGGGATGGGCAATCAATTCACTGATACAATTAAAGCAGGATAAAATCCGGGTTAGAGCCATTCCTAAATCCATTGGTCACAAAAAGAATAACGAAACTGTCATGTTCATTAAAAACAAAAATAATAACTCTTAGCCGCAAACAGAAAACAGATACTAAGGTGATGGCTACATGAAGTGACCCATGTAATGGAATATCCGCATTTTGCGAGTTAAGGTCTCAATTGTTGGAGATAATTTGATTAAAACTCTAAATAAGTAAAATCTAAATTAAAACGTCGAGATTGTTTTATTTGAGATTTATTGAGAATAATAATTATTTCTACACTTTTTACATATTTACGATCTCAGCGGCTGCAAGTAGGTTAATACATAATTGAACATGCTGGAGGTATGGCAAATCTAGTGCTATTGTTAATCTAAGTACGATACGATTTATGCCTGATTTGTACTACATTTCCCCATTGAAAAACTTTCGTAAGCAGATGTCAATCAAACTACAAGCAGGTTCAAAGAGATTACAACCGAACCGCGATAATGTGCTTTTGCATGTTAACCACGTCCTGAAATCCAACATCAATGAAGTAGATTGGGTTTAAAACTTCGGAATTCCGGTAGTCTGCTAAAACAACCACGTGTTCGTTTTTATAAATTTAGATTAGGTCAACGAACCAGGGCAATCGAAAGTTTCCGGCCTTCTGCTTCCTATCCCGAGTTTGAACATTCATGTTTTTCTTGGTATTCTCCAGAACCGCGAGCTTAGGATAATATTTCCTGACGGAAATAATGTCTTAGTTTGTGGGTGCCTGCGTCATTCTGTCTGTGGGGCTGAATAAGCATTATATCTAGCATATATAAACAATATTTTATTTACTAATGTCTTGTATATACTACTATTTATCACACGAATAAATACCTCTGGATTGCATATTTCCATATTTTGTTTTCACGTCTGCAATGGCTACACATACAAAGACGTATTCTTTATTTTAAAGGAATCATGACATATACGTCTTTAAAGGATCTTTCTTCAGATTATAACTTACCTTAAAGCTAAGATCATCAGCTACTGGGGTTTATCTCCGATCGACAAATAACAACAATCTCCAGGTTCCGTTGTGGAAAACGATCCATTACAAGAGCTCATTCGCGGTATCGGCACCTACCGCATGCATTTCCTAACACCTAAGCATTCGTAATTCAAATTTCCTTGCTTCGTTTAAAACGTCATTAAAGAAATTATTTCATGAGCACCGAGAATGATATATTAAACACTATGAATAATGAATTTTATCATAATGTCCAGAAATAATATGTGTATGTATGTATGTATGTATGTATGTATGTATGTATGTATGTATGTATGTATGTATGTATGTATGTATGTATGTATGTATGTATGTATGTATGTATGTATGTATGTATGTATGTATGTATGTATGTATGTATGTATGTATGTATGTATGTATGTATGTATGTATGTAGGTAGGTAGGTAGGTATGTAGGTAGGTATGTAGGTATGTAGGTAGGTATGTAGGTATGTAGGCGTGTATGTAGGCATGCATGTATGTATGTATGTATGTATGTATGTATGTATGTATGTATGTATGTATGTATGTATGTATGTATGTATGTATGTATGTATGTATGTATGTATGTATGTATGTATGTATGTATGTATGTATGTATGTATGTATGTATGTATGTACAACTTAGATTAGTCTAAAACGTGTTTACATGTTCATAGTATATTGTTCATGTGTCTATTGAAAAGTCAAGTATAGTCATACAATTTTTTCTTTTTACGTCTGTGTGAATGTTCATGCGAGGATACCTAAGTGAGTGTAAGATTTTTTAAATATTCTATTACAGATGTTTTTTTTCCTTTATTTTTAAATTAACCGATTGCAGAAATTAAAGAACACATGGCAGACTGGTCTTTCATGACCAAATATATTATACTCGTTAGAACATTATTATTATTATTATTATTATTATTATTATTATTATTATTATTATTATTATTATTATTATTATTATTATTATTATTATTAAAGTCCTATCGGACGATTTATTTTCATAAAACGTGAACAAAAGTCCCGCTATACGTACAGGAAACGCTTTAGGATTCTTATACCATTGTGTGAGGTAACCATTCCGTGGTCATAACATGGCCGTCAAAGAGTGGGAGCTTTAGAACTTTTTTTTCCTAAACAACAACTAATACATACTGCATTTCCTCCCATATAAAAGATGTAAGAATGTTTTGCCCTAAATTGCATGACTGATTTGAATTTTTGAAACATTACACGAGCGTTTTAAATTTCTATTATGAATAACTCTTTTACTTCGGGTCTTATGTCTAATAACACAAAATTTAGAGAAAAAAAAGAGAACTTAGTGGTCTTCTGAAAATATACGACTTTATTCAATCGATTTCAAAAGTCATTGAAATGATGATTTTCATAGGTAAATATTGATGAATACCTGTTTCAGAAAGCAAAAAATAAACAAATAAATACATAAAAGTAATAAATACATTTAAAAATACAAAATAAATAAATAAATAAAATAATAAATAACTGATAAATAAATAAATAAAAAATAAACCAATATATGTGATTTTGTCTCAGCATATTCTGACCCACGACAAGTAATATATTCCTAATGAAATTTGATTTCGTGATTGACAGCATTTGCTATCTTAGCATCAAAATAATGATATTTCAAGACAAAATGAAATCATTTGACTTGAGTCCATCTTGATGGCGAGTCTTCTTGTGTGTAAAATTGTTTCTTGTGGTTTTTAACTTAAATAGCCTCTCTTTACTTGCTAAGGTGTATCTATGGTACATCTGCGGACAATTAAGAAAGATTTTAATTACGGACTTGGAAGCCGTCATTCATCCTCCACTCATCTTAGGTTGACCAATTTTAGCCTCAATATATTATCAGTTCATTTGATTTATTGTACTTACTAAAGGCTTCTTTATTCATTCAATGACATGATTGTATAAAGCGACTAAATCATGTAGATGAGAGATGACATTTCAAATAATGAATTGACAGATTGAAGGATATACGTTGAAAACAAGCTGAAAATACAGTTAATGTTTTTCAGTTCAGATAGTAGCAAGAAGCGGTATTCGCAGAAGAATTTGAATTATATTTTCAGTTTCAACCGACTCAAACCTTCCAATTGTAATAAAGCCGCCACCCTCAGGTTTTCACTTTTCTGAAGACTAACAAGTTTTAGGGAAATTAAAAGACAATTTCATTGCGACAAAATATGGCTGCGTTATACTGTTTATTACAGATGAGAAAGAGAAAATTAGCCACTAATAAATATAACATTTACTTTTGATTACATAGGCATTCAGCCAAACGTCTTACATACAGTCAGTAAGAGATAGTTGATGATTTATCTCTTCAACCATGTTTAATTAATATCATTCGTAGTTATTTTACCTGGGATAATAGTTGTGATCTCCTTAGTGAATTAAGTGCACCGCCAAAAAACATATTTAATATTAACCACATTAGATATGACATGTTAGGTATCACAAATTAGGTATAATGCGTTAGTCAAGACACATTAGGTACGACACCTTAGAAACGACATCGCCATGATGTTATGCAGATGAAGACAAAAGTTAGATTTCTGAACCTGTACGTCTGTTCAACTTTCATCAAT